TTTACACGACAACGTTTTCAGCCAAAAACGGGAAACTTTTTATGCATTTTGACTGTTCGTTTACATGACGGTGACATTTTGGGGACTGAAAACGCATATTTCTGAAGTTTTTGAAAACGGCACAGTTATCGTTTCCGTGTAAACCCAATATGTGAATCTTTGAAAACGGTGATGTCATGCGCATGCGTAGTACGTGTTAGGCATGTAGACATGCGCAGTACGTATCGATTTTAAAGGCAAGCGCAACCAAACATACACAACAATGGCGGAGTATATGGAACTGTTGTTGCTGCTCAAGAGTTTGCTAACGCTTCTTCAGCAAAGTGTGGATTTACTTCACCAATATTACAACCAACAGCAGAGACGCATCATATAGTGAATTGGTGGGTTTTTGTTAAATGTGAGCCAAAATCATCACAATTAAAAGAACCAAAGACTTAAACTACTTCAGTCTGTGTGCACTGAATTTATTTAATACACGAGTTTCACAATTTGAGTTGAATTACTGAAATGAACTTTTCCACGACATTCTAATTTATTGATCATTTCGAACAATGCAAAGTTTTGCTCCATACACAAATGAATTCTAACCAGGGACATGCAAAACTGCATATTTTCAAAATTGTCAAGTGTTAAGGAAGCAATGTTTCAAACAGACAGAATTTGTGGGGTGGGGGGCTTAGCTTGTGAATGCCTGTGCGCATTTTAGTTTTACTTTTGAATTAGAGTCAATTGCTTGAATGGACAACAACAAAACGGTACAATGACACAAGTCCTAGACCTGTGTTAAATTACACAAAGTTTAAATAAAGTAAAATATTAAAGTTTAAATAAAGTAAAATATTGCCAAATAGCTTGGTGCTTTTGCATTTTGTTTTGAAACTAAATCTTCTTCCATCGTCTTGTCTGTCTCACCTAACTCTTCTTGTCGGTCAACTTGACTCACTCTCCTGACGTGATAAATTAAATCTGACTCCTGCTGCTGATCTGTGATGCAACTGTCATTCGTCCCACTGCACTGAACAGCCGTGTTAAATTTCTTAATTGTGGTGTCTGTTCTCTAACTGAACTAAATATTTTTTATTACTATTAAAAAAATAAAATCAAAAAGATGGTGGCGGGCGGTGCTCCGGTGTGCAGAGACTTAACCAGTGTTGCAGCTTAACACAGTAACACTGTCAACACCGACTCTCGCAGCAAACCTAATTCAAACTAGGGGTGCTCCGATCAGGATCTGAGGCCGATCACCGATCACAGAAAGCAATATACTGATCTTCTGATCTTTTTAAAGCCTTCTTTTTATAATTTATAACTATTTATAGTGATACTCCAATCAGAATTTTTAATCAGGGCCTG